GGGGTGGGGGCTGGGGTGGGGGTGGGAGCGACCTTCACCCTTCCTGTTTTGACCTACCCACTTCTTGCTGACTCTTGAGGATCATTCAAGGGGGCGAGTGTGTGTTTCCAATTCTACAGTGACTTCTGGGAAGCAGCTTCTAGTCATTTCATTCCAGAAAGGATCGCTTCCCTACCCTCATGTCTGTATTTTGTAGTTCTTATCTTTTCTGGGAATTCTGACCTCAGGGGCATTATTGGGTGATATGGCAGTGGTTCCCAAAGTTCTCTACACACTGGAATTGTGTAGATGTTGGCGGCAAAACAACACCAGTTGTTATCAGCGAGTGGGATGTCGGTGAAAGAATTCAGAGCCAAGAACTCAAATTATAAGAGAAAGTTTATTTAGAAACTTACAGAGGTAGTAAAAGAGATGAGCCGTAGAAGAAATGGGTTCAGGAAACAAGTTACAGAGACAAAAGAAGGGCGCTTGAAGCTTAGGAGAGGGAAAGGCAAAGATAATGCCTGGCAAGAAGAAGAGGGGGTCCGGGAAAGTCTCAGGCTTGCTCCAGAGAAGGAGAGATGTACTGGGCCCTTCATCTCAAGGGTTTTAAAGGCTGGGAGTTTAGGGGAAGATCTCAATAGAATATTCATCAGCTTTATGCTGATGTGCCAAAATGAGATTTATTTCCCTGACTTTATCCATCCTTGGGTGTGGTTGGCACAAATGGCACTGATTGGATTTTTGTTACCTGTCTCCCTGAGCCAAGTAATTTAAGCTATTTACCCTCTGCTTGGGGAGGAGATGTGTAAACCATTTACACTTAAGTGTCCTTGGTTTAGGGCAGATAGGATTTTGTGATTTACTAGATAGCTGTAAACTGCTTGGCCGGTTAACTGTCTGTCTCAGTTTCCCTGTTCCACTTGTCCGGGCTCACTAGCCTGTCTCAGAATCCCTTGAGCACCTTTAATCCTGGACGTGTTGGGATGTTCCGATCTGATCCGAATAGGGTGCGGCCTGAGCAGCTGGAGCTTTAGAATCTCCCCAGGTCTTGTGCTCTCCCTCTCGGGGATGCTGTACAGCAAGCATGTCAACCTCAAAGGCTAAGACGGGCCACATAAACAAGGTTTAAGTTTATGTGGGCCACAAAAAACCACAAGTTTCAATTTTCATAGAAATGTAGATTTATTTCAATAGAGACATGCTGAATACAAAGGGCTAAAATAAATGAGTAATCGTTAACATAAAGTAATAGAACATTTTAATATAAATTAACATTTTTTCTTGAACATTAACTTACCAGACACTGAATAACTGCACATATTAATAAGCATAATGCAAATAAACCTATTTTTCTTGTTCTCCAAAAGTGAAATATTTCCTGTTGCGTACGCCAAACAAGTCAGTCCAAAACTAATGGTGTGGCAATCGGCTGCTAAAATATTCACTGCTAGTATTAGTGGAGAGAAATGGTGCGCCTGCACGTAAGGCGCATAAGGGAAATGAATGTAACACGGTTATAGTAATCAGTCATTAACAAACCTTGTAGTTCATTATTAATAACTAGAGGCCCGATGCACAAAATTTGTGCCAGGGGCTTGCCCCACCACCGCAGCAGCTGCTTCTGCCTCGGTCCCTGCAGCCGCAGCTTTGTCCAGAAGGTCGTCTGGAAGGACATTCGGTCTAATTTGCATATTACAATATTACACTTTTATTATTATTGATTATGTATGACAGGATATTGTAAAAATTAAGTCATGAAAGTTTTATTAAAACGTTTCTTACATACTGTTATATTGGTTGGGCCACAAAAATATTTGTTGTGGGCTACATGTGGCCCATGGGCGCCAGTTTGACATGCTTGCTGTACCAGATGCCACACACCTCAGAAAAGGAGGATTGTGACCACTGCCATGAGCAGCCCACATGGGTCTGAGAAATGG